ATGAATTCCGTAAATTTACAGTATATTACAGGCATCGCTGCTGCCAGCTCTTTACCGTAAATTATAGAAATACTGGTATATACACCGTATTTCTGGTTTATGGTCTACTACCGTCAAATCATTTTACAGATGAATACCATAAAAATTATGGTATATTACAGGCGTCTCTGCTGCCAGCTCTTTACTGTTATTTTACAAGACAATTATTTACAGTGTACACAAAGCCTGGGTTTATGTCCCATCTGACGATCTTTCCGCAATGTCTACATATTTTACCGCATCACCTAACCACAGCCATCACTTACTGTAACCATGAGTAAATGCAGAAATATGTACAATATATAAACAATGTTATGTCTGTCTGAGACATGGAAGTGAACTATCACTGAGGTGGCATTGTGATTTAAAGTTAAATATATGCCAGCAATGCTATTCATCCATCTAATAAAACAGAGCCTTGCATTTCTTCACATTTAAATCCTCAACAACAGAGTTCTTGTAGCGTTTACGCTGTAGATGTCCGTGTAATGAACAACCAGACTTTAGTTGGAGTTGTCTAAACTTGAAGCCCCTGCAAAGAACTTTTCACCTTTGCCTCTGTGGACAAAAGCGGTCGTTTTTCTTTCGTCTTCTGTCATAAAAACCTCGGTCTGGCCAGCATGTGCATTTTTTTTGGAAGGAGTGAAAAAAAACTCACACAGCCGTTTGCAAGGATGCATAGCGATGAGGTAATACTGCTGCAATCTACAAATAAAATGAACCTATGACATTCCTGTTTAGGAGGAAGAAAGCAATTTCGGGTTCTCTTTTGAATCCTTTCTGATCACATAATTCTCTCCATCTGTTGAATGCCCGACCAAGATTAACCTGCGTTTTAGCTTGTGCTTTATCACTAGCCCTCTTAGCTTCTCTTTGTTTTTCGGTTCCTTTCTCTTTTTTTTCACTTTGCTGATCCTGCCCCAGCATCAGCCATGCCTACAAAATGCAAAGTCAAAAATAATTATCTCTAAAGACCAGTCTGCTCCAGCTTCCTCTCAATCGGCTAGCGTGCTTCTCACTGTGAAAGTTTGCCGGCTGAAATGTAAACACAGGTTTTTCTCGCCTGACTGCTGTAAATCATATTGTCTGACCTGACCGCCAGTGTTGAGACCCCGACCACAGACATTGAGAACAGTTCATAGAAAAAGACAGTTTTCTCCCTGATTGTCTCTTTACTTGTTGTAGGTCATAAAGAGGCAGCGATATTAAAAAGAGACTGTTTCATAACCAGCAGCACCAAACAGAACCCATCAACATTTGAGATCCAGTTAGCCCCCATATGCAGTTATTGTACCGTGTGCATTGTAGTTCTTGAGGTATAAATTTGTTGTAACAGGACCCTGTGCTACAGAGCCACCGCATTTTATTGCACCTTCACGACCATGATTCCTTTAGTCAGACCTAAATCATGTACTAAGTGGCATCACTTTCAATTGATGACCTAAATCAATCAGACTTTTTATTAATTTAATCATAGACTTTCTTTTCTGAATGGTTCTTTATCCATTGTCTGCTAAACTGATCAATTGATTGGTTTATATTTGTCTTCCATCCCTGCAGTATGATTCTCCTCTACCTGCAGTCAACACCAACTGGGAAGCTGTCACTATGCTCATGTCGGTGAGTCACATACACACGCACACACACACTCTCTCACACACTCTCTCACACACACACACACACGCATGCGCGCACACACACACGCACGCGCACACAAACACACACACAGCCAGACCTGCCTTGTGACACCATCACCCCACCAATAACCCACACACGTACAATGGCGAAACTAATAATTTAGATATACGGTCCATTTGTATCATCCAGCACACCCCCACACAGACCATTTCTATTCATGTATGCACTGTACTTAATATGCATGAAGCTTGCGATGCAACATGACATAATGTTTTTATAAGCATATGTAATCAGTGTAATTTGTGTGTATGTGTACGAGCACTCGGGTTCAGTGACATACTGTATGTGATTGTAATAATTAGTGTGCGCTGGGCTCGTGGCAGTTCTTCTGCATGGACAGATAATGGTTATATGTATGTGGGTGTTTTCGCATGTGCACTGTATGTATGAGGATGTCACTTCCAGGGCAGATGGGAAGTACATGTATGTATTGGCCTCTTACACTTCCATGTTATACTATCTGCTTCATGGTTTCCTACTAACTAAATTCATGTTTGTAACTGTTTCTGAGCAAG